ATGAGCCTCGAGCTGAGTTTCAAAAGAAAGCCAGTCATTTACTAACATCATTCTATAAAGCCTTAGTAAGGCCACACCTAGAGTAGTGGATCCAGTTTTGGTCACCACACTATGAAGAAGATGTGGAGACTCTGGAAAGAGTGCAGAGGAGAACAACAAAGAGGATGAGGGGACTGGAGGCTCAAACATAACAATGAACGGTTGCAGGAACTGGGCCTGGCTAGTCTAGGGAAGAGAAGGACCAGGGGAGACAGGAGAGCATCTTCCAATATTTGAGGTGCTGCCACAGAGATGAAGGGGGTCAAGCTATTCTCCAAAGCACCCGAAGGCCAGAGAAGGAATAATGGATGGAAACTGATCAAGGAGAGATTCAACCTGGAAATAAGGACAGTGAGAACAATTAAACCGTGGAACAGAAGTTCCTTTCGGAAGTTGTGGGAGCTTCACCTCTGGAGGCTTTCAAGAAGAGACTGGACTGCCCTCTGTCAGAAACGGTGTAGGGGTCTCCTGCTTGGAAGTGGGGTTGGATTAGATGACCTATAAGGTCTCTTCCAAATCTGTATCTATCTGTATCTCTTTGTTTCCCCCTACTCCCCTGCAGACCCAGGAAGAGCAGCGGACGGGGGGACTTGGGGAGGAATTGTCCAGCACTATCAAAAGAGGACCCTTTTGGGATTTTCTCAACATGGAGCTGACGTATAAGGCTCCCTGGGAGCAGGATGGAGAGCGCTCGGATCTGGAAGGGCCCAGGAGCCACACCGCCCCAGGTAAAGAGGTATTTTCCACTTTGTATTCCGAGACCAAGTGGCTATCAAAGAATAGAATAATAATAATAACCAAGAGTTGGAAGGGACCTTGAAGGTCATCTAGTCCTACCCCTCTCCCACCCTACACCATTTTCCATCATCCTCAGATGAGTCAGACTTCTTATTCCACACTCCCAATAAATATTCCACGTTTATTTCATAGAGATGTACACAGGTGGTCCTTGACTTACAACAGCTCACTCAATCACCGTTCAAAGATACAAGGACTGTTTTTCACACTTAGTGACCACTGCAGCAGCCCCATGGTCACGTGATCAACATTCAGATGCTTGGCAAAAGGGCTGGTATTATGACGGTCGAGGTGTCCCGGGTTCCTCGTGATCCCCCTTTTGCGTCCTCCTGATGAGTCAGTGAAGAAGCAAGATTCACTTAACAACTCTGTTTCTAACTTAAAACAAGTGCAGCAATTCACTTAACAACGGTGGCAAGAAAGGTTGTAAATGGGAGCGAAACTCGCTTAACAAATGCCACGTACATTTTGGGCCCATTTGTGGTCGTAACTCAAGGACTGCTTGCATTTATGTCTAGTGCCAGGGGTCTCCAAACTTTGGCAACTTTAAGACTTGTGGTCTTCAACTCCCAGAATTCTCTAGCCAGCAAAGCTTTCCTGGCTAGGGAATTCTGGGAGTTGAAGTCCTCAAGTCTTAAAGTTGCCAAAGTTTTCCTGGCTAGGGAATTCTGGGAGTTGAAGTCCTCAAGTCTTAAAGTTGCCAAAGCTTTCCTGGCTAGGGAATTCTGGGAGTTGAAGTCCTCAAGTCTTAAAGTTGCCAAAGCTTTCCTGGCTAGGGAATTCTGGGAGTTGAAGTCCTCAAGTCTTAAAGTTGC